GGTACGTCCTGTTGGTTTCCAACAAAAGAGCACCTGTTGGATGGATCTTGATTGAGTTGACTGAAAAAAGCGATTCTTGTGAGGCCACTGTGAGGCCTTATTTGGAGGACATCGGGGTGTGTTGTTTTTTGCTTTCCGGGGAGGGGGGGAGTTTGGATCATAGGTTTCCCTCATGTGGAGCCTTGTGACATATTAACAGACTATTGGGTGCCTGCTTTTGATTTGTGAGGGGGGGGGGGGGGCCGCTGAACCCCCAAAGTGCCCGCGAAAAGAGAAGTGAAGAGCCCTCCCCAATGTGTCCGTGTCCTGTAGACACAAACGTATGTTTGCTGCACCCGGCCCCAATTGCTCTGATGCTCTTTGGAGAAACATTCGGTTGTTTCTGCACTACGGGCCTTAACTGTCCATGTCCTTTTGGGATCTCGCAGTTTGTCCAGGGCTCCGAGCCTCCAAAAGGAGAGCAAACCATGTGGGAAAGTCCCTTTGGTCGATACCAAGTTTATACTCTCCGGGGATCTTCGCAGCTTCGCCCTGTCCGTTGACAAAGGCAACCAACAAACTCCCTGTAGGCTTTGCTGGGCATGTTTGAGGGTATTCTTTTCAGGTTGGTAAGGGAAGCCCTTTTTCGAATAAATAAATAAATAAATAAATAAATAAAACATAAACAACAATAAAATAGAAAATCCGAGCCATTTCGGAAAACGGCCCCCCCGTTAAACGGCGCGTCGTTTTCTGCTCGGATAGGCCGTGGTCCGCAGAAAGGACACGGTGTCGCGCGAGGAGTTCGAGGCGCGGACGGTGGCCTGTGGAACCGAAGTGGTGGCCATGGATTTTCCGAAGTCTGATGTCCGATTCTGCTGCAGTATTTAAAACAGCGAGGGCTGCTGAGATCGGGAGTTGTGGCATGACATGTTTTTTGAGCGCGCGCCACGCCGTCGCAATGCGATGAATTTTGGACGCCCGGAGTGACAAGATGTTGTCTGAGATAAGCTTGTGGAGCTGGCGCCGATAGGTGCAGATGTGCATGGGTGGGAGTAGCATGGACTCCCACGATTTCCCCCGTTGGCAGAGTGACAGCAAAAGAAGACGCGTTTGAGCGAGTCAGAGATTTGCATGCGTTTGATTTCAATCCTTTCGATTTCCACACATCTGCAAACCCCTTCGACGTGCTCCCATCTGCATTCTGGGCACGCATGCGGAGCGCCAGCTCGAACATTTGAGTAAGAGGCCCCGTGGCCACGGTTTGTATGGTGAGGCAAGAGAGGTGCCACGACTTCATAAGGGTTGATTCTAACAAATGTAGTGAACTCAGGAGTTATGTTCACTCGATGACAGACTTCTTTCTGGTTGAGCCTTTTTGTCTACCCAAAATCATATGTGCCATCGCAAAAATACCCTTTGCTGGTTGGCCATGGACGCATAGCAATGAGACTGCCACAAGGATTCCTAAACCATGGTCGCAAGAGCCAGCAAGTTGTTTTGCACATGTGGAGACCAAAAGGAACCAAAAGGCAACTCGGGTCGAACAAGTCCTTTCATGTTGGATTGAACGCCCCAGAAAGCTGCTGGGTTTCTCGTAGTGGGGCAGCTGTATCTTGAGGAGGGCGGCGGGGTTGGGGGAGGAGGTTCGGATCCTCTGTGCTGATTGTGCGCAAGCCATTTGCACCTGCTATAAGTCCGCTAAGTGGGTTACAATCAGGGTTAGTAACCACTAAGGGATTAGGCTGTAGACCTTCCTATCAACACCCGATTGCTTTTGCTTCAACCTGACAACCTTTCCAACCTTTCTGCGCATGACAAGCACGTTTGCTCCTAAGTAACAGCACGTGAGCAACTGACCAGATTACTGCAGTCTGTTGCTGGTTTGGGTCCTCTTGATAGCTATTTTTGGCCCGGGCCAAAGGTTTTCGTTCTTGCGACTACCCAAACGCGATCCCTTCGGATTCCCCGAAAAGAAGTAAGTCAACCAACCGCAACCACGCGGAAAACCGAGAGTAAGAGAAGAAACACTGAACGTCCATCCATTTTTGGATGGGAATCTCCTTTTGGAGATCAGAAAGGATCCTTTTTGGACTCCACGTTCATTTGCACGGGAGGAACCTTGTCCTGTTGGGTCAAATCGAGCGCAAGCCAAGACCTCAAAGCCTAAGGTTTGAAGAAAGTGGCCCAAACTGCTGATCTTGCTGGGGACCCTAGGCCCGCACTGCTGGTTTTCAGGGTACCCATTGCATTCCCCAAGCTTCCAACACGCGCCCAACCCCAAGGAACATCTACCGTCATCGAGTCTTCCGTGTCACCAGTAGCCAGTTGAGAGAATCGACGGACTTGACCCTCGACCCTCTGCCTTCGCCCGGCGCAAACTCGAAGTTTTGGGGCTGGTCGTTGAGAGAGTCTGCCAAGGACTTGATCATACCTGGAATGATTGGGGTTTCCGTGACTCGGGATCGTAGGATCATTACCTCCCAAGCTTTCTTCAACAAGCAAAGGGTCGTTCAGAATGTCACAGCCTTTGGCTGTGACCTTCACAGGTCGTTTGAAAAATGATCCCTTTTCATGGGGACCCCCCCTTGATCTCCTCGGCAAGGCCGTAGAAATACCGTAGTGAGGCTTATTTTGCGGGGACCCCATTCCTGGATCCAGGTGGAATCCTCCTTGTACCCCCGGTGTTTGTCGGGTGTCCACCCCCGTTTTTGGAAAAACACCCCGTGTCGCAGGCGCGAGTGCGGGAGGCGCTTGACGCCTTCGCCCAGGGAGCCCTCAAGAAGGCGAGGGGATGGGGTGGATCCCCACCGTCCGCTTCTCCAAAGAGATGCCCGGAGTGGGTTTTGTTTCCTTTCCTGGAACCGCTCATCTTGGAGCTGTGGACCGGAAACTGAGCACTTTGCATTTGCTACTTGAAACCATGGCCAAAAAGCAACTGTATGACCGTATGGCCGGTATTGCAAAGGGCCCTCCCGATGTCAGCACTGGATTGCGGTGCCGTTGAAGCAGGCACTGTTGAAGTGATCCACGGCAATGTACGTGCAAGTGCCTCGCAACCGTTTGGCTGTGGGTCAAAGCCAATGGTACCATTTTGGGGTAGATACACCACCCATTTTGGTCGGGATTGGGATGTTCACTGGGGGCTAACCGGGCTTTTGACCCATGGCCGTTTGGTTGGAATCGTCCAATTCTTGAGCCTACCAATCTTTCCTGGCAGGCAGTTCTGCCCTCCACTGACCCAAGGTTGTTTCCTCCGAAAAGGGACTCCTGGCTGTGCAGGCTCTTTTCTTGGCTTTCCCAGAGTAGTATTTAGGGTAACACTTTTTTTTGCCGGAAGGCCTAGTCCTATCGGGTTCACTAGGATTGACATGTGTGGCCTCAAGAACATCTATTTGCGTGGCCCGCCCGAACCTTTGCTTCTAAGGGGCCCATCCGACTTTTTGCCAACTTATTCAGGTTGGCCTGAAAATAACACCGGCGGACTTTGATTTCCATTCATACATCCCACCCCGCCAAAGAGGGTGTTTGTCGACATCGTCTCGAGGCCCGCATGGAGTTCTTGTCGTGGGTTCCCCTGAAGTTCGAAGCTTCGTATCCTCGGGGGCTCCATCCAAAGGTCCGCTTCCCGGTTGGCAAACTTGAGACTTTGGCTGGAGGCCCCCATTCAGTTTGGAAGGCCAGGCAACTCGGCTGGAGGCCAACTCTGCAGGCTGGAAAACACACTTGTGACTTGGTTGATTCCCAGTCTCGCACCCCACTTCCGGACAGGTCGTGCTGGCCCGCCGCATGCTTTTGGACCTCCTATGGTGCGAGGATGTTGGATCGTCGAGTTGTTTGGTGCGTGGTCGGTCTTTGTTTTGACCCAGGGTTGGGCACAAACATGTTTCGGCAACGAACCCCTAGAACTTCTTTAAAGGAACCCCCCAAACAGATTGTTGTCAAAGAAGCGGTGTCTAACAACATGTTTGGCCATGGGCTTGACCCAACCCTGGCTTGATCTTGAAGAATTAAGGGCCATGCCTCCAGCGAGCCACGATCAAACCTAGATAGGTCACATGGCACGGTCACAGGCATGGTCATCCACCTAGTAGTAAGGATCCCATTCCGGGAACCCCATGGGCCAAAAACAAGTTTTGACCATGTCACGCATGTGTTTCCTTCATTATCTCTTACCCAAAGATGCCACTTTTCGCAATCATATCAGCTGAGCCACAATCAAAACGATCCCAGCCATGAATAGCTGTGACCGCCTTGTTAGTTCTTTACATGGTTCTGACCAGTTTTGTACCGGGTTTTGATTGCGACTCAGCTGGAGCCTCCGTTTTTCAGGCGCCAAGCCGCCCCAAAAAAGCGCGCGGGGAGAGGACGCGCCGGAGCTGCTGCAGCAGGCAACCTCTCCGATTGCCAACGGGGGCGTTTGGGGACTCTCGTGAGATCAGGGAAACCAACAGGGAAGTGGAAGGTCTTTTTGTTGGGGGTCTTTTTTGTTGGGGGTATGCCCTTTAAACCAAGAGGAAAACCACAATGTGAGTGGTTCCATCCCCTAGAACGGATTTTGAGGGGGGTCCTCTCTTCCGTGAGACAGTCACCAGGGCGCCTTGGAACCAGGGGGCGACTTCCCCAGAGGCGGTCGCCTTCTGTGCCTCTAAAGGGCGATCGAAAGGTACCTGGGGGGTTTGCTCCAAGGTTTGGGCGGCAAGGAAGGGCCAAAAGGAAAGAGCGGGTTTGTAGGATTCTCCTATTTTGACGCAAGCCCATACCCAATCAGCAGGGTCAACCGTCGCCTGGCAGTTGCAGCATGTCGCAAAGCCCGCCATCTTTCCGGCCCAAGCTTTCATCAGGCCACTTCCAGCCAGCGGATTTGGGCTGGTCGATTCGGATGGATTCATCAGCAACAGTCCAATTCATTGTCGGTCATGAATGTCTTTCTCACTTTTTACTTTGTAGAAGAGCTGCCGAGACCCCGAACGCATTTTCCTGCGCATTCAATAGATTGCCGAAAGTTTCCAGCAAGGCGTAGCGACCGGAACCCATTTTGGAAGCGCGGGGAGTTGGACAGCCGGCGCCAGCTGCCTGCCAGCCGACCGGACGCCATGTGGGGCCTCTGGGATTCGCAGGAGATGACCTGGTGAGATCTGGCCATGGGTCAAAACCCAAATCGTACCCCCAGTGAACATCCCCATCCCTATCCCAAAATGGTACCATTGGTTTTGAACCATGGCCATCTGACACCCGGGGAAAAGGGTCCCACCCACTGAGATGGAGCCCAGAACCGTCGACGTGCCCGGGCGCGTTCGTGCATGCTGGCTTGAGATCAGAATCGTCTCGACATACCATCTGGCGTTCACGTTGACCTCAGCCTGGTTGGGCGGTGTTTCCCCAAGAAAGAAAGCGATTCCCTCTTAAATGGGACCCCCCAATTCATCCACCAGGGGTAATTTTTTCCTGGGTTCCAATTGCCATCAAACTCGTCAGGGGCACCAATCCGAAGTTCACATCAGTGAGAAAAATAACCCCCCCAGCTCCCCCGCCCCCTGGACCCCAAAAACCCTTCCAAAAACTTGAGCACCTTTCCTGGGATTGGGGGGGGTGGAGGCCTGGAGTTTTCCCCGACGGCTTGCCTTCCTCAGCCGTTGGACCGTCAGGATGACATGCCGCCGCCGCCGCGCTCCTCAGTCTTTGCCGGGGGCTTAGAGCTCCGCGAGCTCTGATTGACCCCCCCAGGACTGGGTCCCCATTTCACTATCCTGGTTGCTAGGTTGCTGGGTTTTGCAAGGCAGCTCAGTTTGGAGAAGAACAGAAACGACCTCAGATGGAGTGTGGGTTTTTGGCAATGGATGTGCTCCAGCATTCGGGACGCGTCAAAGCTAGCCAAAACACCACGTTTGGGTGGAACATCGGTGACGGATTCCTCCAGTTTCCCTAGGGGCCAACTTCCTATCAACTGCCGAGGCTTCTTTTTGAGCGACCCTGTTCGCCTCGTTTTGGGATATTTCACCCAGGTCTGGGCTGAGAGGTCTATGCGAGCTGTCTGGTCCATCCGAGAGCCTCCGAATGGAAAGCCTTGTCATTGTCCTGAGCTCACCTGTTCAACGGTTTGCCCACAGGGGCTTCCTTCATTGATCCCTCTGGCCCAGCAACGGGGGGTACCCTCCAAAGGGCGCTGGGGCAACAGCCCGCCAGAGAATCCGACAGGTTTGTTTGTCTTTATCCATATGCCAAATGGTAGTCACTTCCCTTGCAAGAGTAGTCTCCCACGTATTACACATTTGGCCCCATGTTGATCAACCCAGCCCAGTCGCCTGAGCTCAATCGAACGCAGGTCATGCGGAACGGGCGCTACGAGCCGCAGAATCTCATGCCGGCCGCAGCCCCGAACCGTTGGAATGGTGCTTCGAGCGCTTCCTATGTGTCAACATGCAGAATACTATATGCATACTTTTGGTTTCCAATTACATCAACCTTGTTTTCTTTACCTTTGGCGCTTCTCAAATGAGCATGGTTTGTAGTAACTATGGGGCTCCCTTGCTATGGCTCTGAATCTATATATAAGAGTTGGAGGACCCAGCCGAATTCTGCTTCAGCCAAGGCTAATGAATGAAGACTTGGCGATCTGAGTTTTGGCAATTGGAACACCCTCAAACATGGTTGCTCCAACTCATGCTTACCAAAGGGTTCCCTTAGTGAATTCATTGACCGAGCTCTCCTTGCTGAGCCATGACAAACGGGGAATTGCCCGTAAGTGGTCATAAACTACCCATATCCAGAGGTTCGTCCCAGAGGTTCAAACAAACTGCCCTCTTTCCAAACATATTAGAGGTGGGCTCGTTTTGGCGTGAAACCCCAAATCGAAGACAGGTTTTTGTTGTTTTTGGGTTGCGTGGTAGTTTCTACCAAACGTAACCACCAAGCAATAGACTTAGTAGGGGATCAGGGAAGCCAGCCAAGAGCCGAGGTCATGCCGCGGCCGGACGTCTTGGACTTCGACGGGTTCGTTCTCCGGCGGGGCGCTGCCAACAGTCGTGCCCCGGTTGGCAGGAGAGCGCGAGGTTTGATTCCCCGAGGTAGACTCAAATCCAGAGGTTTTGATTTTCAAAGGGGAACCCGGGGTGTCAAAAAAAAGGGGGCTGCTGTTCTTTGTGTTCAATTTTTTGGCTTGGTGGGGGCTTGTTGTGGGTTGGGAAAAATGGTGCTGGCTGCTGTTGGAATGCGTGAAGAGACGGCACGGGAGTTTTTTGGTGCACGGCCCGCATGCCAAGCACTGAGTTGGTGGTTTATAACAAGCATCGGGGATACATAGGTGCTTCCAACACCGGCAAACCTATGTGAGTGTGTCTTTTTTGAGGGGACCCGTCGATGGTTTTAGAGGGAACCAAATTGAAAACCATCATATGCGGGGTCCCCTATACTGAGACATACCCTTTGTAAATGGTTGGCTTCCATCCAGTCTCCATTGAAATGTCCAAAGACACGGTCGCTCAGCCAATCCTGTGAACACTCTCGACCTGGTTTGGGAGGGAAGGAGGTTGCCAACATCTCTTGTTTTTGGTGGATTGTCCCTCCAATCGGAACTGGCCGGTTTCACAAATTTTCTCGAGCGGTAAGAGAGGCGCAGGTTAGTGAGGGGGATCCAGGCTAGTCCCGCCGTCCCGGCTCCGTCAGCTACGCCTTTCTCTAGATCTCCTCATTCAAACCTTGAAACATCCAACCGCCCAAACCACCTAACTACCCAAACCACCCAAACCCAAACGACACAAAGCACACAAAGCACACAAAGCACACAAAGCACATAAAGCACACAAAGCACACAAACCCAAACGACACAAAGCACACAAAGCACACAAAGCACACAAAGCAGACAAACCCAAACGACACAAAGCACACAAAGCACACAAAGCACACAGAGCACACAAAGCACACAAATCACACAAAGCACACAAAGCACACAAAGCACACAAAGCACACAAAGCACACACAGCACACAAACCCAAACGACACAAAGCACACAAAGCACACAAAGCACACAGAGCACACAAAGCACACAAAGCACACAAAGCACACAAAGCACACAAAGCACACAAAGCACACAAAGCACCCACACAAAGCACGCACACAAAGCACACAAAGCACCCACACAAAGCACCCACACAAAGCACACAAAGCACACAAAGCACACAAAGCACACAAAGCACACAAAGCACACAAAGCACACAAAGCACACAAAGCAGACAAACCCAAACGACACAAAGCACACAAAGCACACAAAGCACACAGAGCACACAAAGCACACAAAGCACACGAAGCACACAAAGCACACGAAGCACACGAAGCACACAAAGCACACGAAGCACACAAAGCACACAAAGCACCCACACAAAGCACACAAAGCACACGAAGCACACAAAGCACACAAAGCACCCACACAAAGCACACAAAGCACACAAAGCACACAAAGCACACAAAGCACACACAAAGCACACAAAGCACACAAAGCACACAAAGCACCCACACAAAGCACACAAAGCACACAAAGCACCCACACAAAGCACACAAAGCACACAAAGCACACAAAGCACACGAAGCACACAAAGCACACAAAGCACACGAAGCACACAAAGCACACGAAGCACACAAAGCACACAAAGCACACGAAGCACACGAAGCACACAAAGCACACAAAGCACACAAAGCACCCACACGAAGCACACAAAGCACACGAAGCACACACAGCACCAAGTACAGGGAGCTCTAAAGGAAAAACACATCCTCTTTTTCTTTTTTCTTTTTTTTAGGGGGGACCCTAAAAAAAGGCCACACCCAGCTTTTCCCTGGGCCAACCATGTCTTGGAGTTTTGGGCTTGGCCGCTTGGCTGAGGTGCGGTTGTACGACCTCCAGACCTTCGGCAGGCCGTGGTTGAGCCTCGTATTGACAGACCCCAACGAAACCTGAGCGTGCCTACGGAATGAATCGGAAGGACCCCGTCCCTTTTTGGGTACAGCTGTGGTTTCCTTTGGGATCCCCAAACGCTTCATTCCCCGGAACCCCAAGGGAAGTCCCAGCCAAACGCCGGCGAGCGTTGCGGCGCGGGGTGCGGCTCCCACGCCTCTTCTGGGCGTGTCTTGGTGTGTGCCCTCGGTCAGGCCTCACTGGTGAAGAGCTGCGTGAGTCTTCGAAAGGCCACAGTCCAGGCCGGGCCTTCGATCGGTTGCGATATCGCCTGACATTTCCCTGGTTGTTGGTCGTTTGTTCTTTTTGGTCCCCTGGATTTCCCCCTCTTCAACCCTCGGTTTTTGGTTGGTTTTCTCCCCCTTCCGGCTTTGGACCCTCCATTGGAGACACGTGTCGCCATTGGAGGGATTCGGACCCGTTTGTGAGGTCCCAAGATTCGTGGGGCCCCTTGTCCCCAAGAGGGTTCGAGGTCTTGGGACGATCAGGGAACACTGCCCTTTTTAAGCATCATGGAAGATGGGCGGATTTGGACAGACTAGAAAGGCCTTTTGTTTACTTCCATGGTTGTTGAGGGCATACCGGGAGAACTAGCACAATGTGTCGGGGAAACCGTCCAAGCACGGTTTCATAGTTCGGACCACTCAAGCATCGGGGAGAGAGAAACATGGGCTTAGTTTGCCTTTGGCTTCCACATAGAGAATCCAAGAGGGATACCCTCAAAAAGGACAGGCCAATGTAGCCGTGATGTTTGTGGGTTTCCTTCATGGTTGGGAGCAAGGGGAAGCGGCTTGGGAACTTGTTTTTGGACCCGCAAATTGAACATCTTGGGGACCGGATTGGTGTTAAAAAGGATTTGGGAGCAGCAAGTTTTGAAAGACTAAATGATGACATACCAACTTGCCAGCAGAGAAGAGTCTGAATCTGCTGTCCCCTGAGCTTGTTTGCGCTCGGTTGCCCGGTTTCTTATACCCTGCCCAAGACTGGCACTCTTTTCGCTTGAACTTCCAAAGACCCCACTTTGCGGAGTTTCCCTTTAAAATCACCATTCATTTCAGACCCCTATGGTTCCAAGCCTGAGGTCAAGCCCTGCGCGCGGGGGCCTTGGCCGAGCATGCCATGGGACCTACGAGGAGGTCCAACCAAGAATTCTCCATGGGGGGGTGTATTGTTTAGTGGTTGGTTGAGGAAGCCAACATTGGGGGTGCTTTTTTTTGGGGGACCCGCAAAAATGGCACCGGCTTTCCTTTTGCTTTCCCTTCAAAACGCCGCAAAATTGGGTCAAGACCAGCCGACCGTTCCCTCAGGTCCGGTCCGGCCTCGCCGGGCGGCAGCGGTAGGGCTGCCCAGGAAATCCGCGGAGCTGTGTTCCCAAATCTCTAGCGCACCGATTCGGGGTAAAACGAGGTCACCATGATGAAGATCCGTTTCCTGGGGATCCAATTCTTATCCCAGGAATTTTGGACGAATCACATTGGGAGCGCATCTGAGACCAGAGTCTCGAAGGTATAGGTTCAGAAGCCCTTGAGGAAACTGGCTTGCTGTGGCAAACGGTTGGATCAATTTCGTCAAAGCCCAGAAGTCCTCAGATTCAGGGGACCGCTCTTTTTTTGGGCTCCCAAGGGAATCGAGGTCAAAAACCAGATTTTCTATGGGTTGATTCCCCATTCTTTTCACAAAAAACCAGCAATTTCCCCAGGGTTTTTGGTGGTTTTCCAGAAAGAAGGATCCCTGGAAAGAATGGGGAATCTTTCCCCAAGAGATTTCGGGTTGGAGAAAACGGAGGGCTCCCCTTGGATTCCGTTTCTTTTCGGCGGATCCGAGGCCCGGTGGAGCTGAGCTTCGTCTTCGACGCCCTGAAGCCGGGCCACCTGCCAAGCCCCGCACGCTTGGCAAATCATCGGAGACGTTCTTCCCTGCGGGCGAAGGACCGGCGTCCCGTTTAGGAAAAAATGGATCATATTTTTTGTTTGCGCAGGACAATGATATGTGTAGAAACCATTTCTTAGAATCCGTTTAGGGTGACCTAAGTTTAGCAGCCAGGTCAAGCAGGCGACCCCGTTTTTCTAGCCGCACCTTCCCCATGTTCATCATGAGAAAATGGGACCCCTGACGCTGCGTGAAGCGAATGGGGAATCTCAGAAAAGATGTCCACTTTGGGTGGTTTTTTGGCGACCTCTTACCAATCCAGCTTTGAATCAGAAGCCTTCAAATAGCGTCCGCCACCCAAAGGCGTGTTGTCCTTGCTCTCAACCATCCAAAATGGGTTTCGTGCGTGCACATGTGTGTGAGTGTGTGTGTGTGTTGTGTATGTGTGCGTGTGTGTTGTGTGTTTGTTTTCATGAACTTGGGGAAGAACGCGAGTGCTTCGGCTCATTTGGATCTTGCTGAGACCATGGCTGCCAGGTCTCTTTTTCTGCACGTGACGGAGGCGCGGCGTTTCGAAAGCAGACAAGTTCCTTGCTTCTGCGGATGAAAGAAGGCATGGGCACACCACGAAAAGGATGTCCACCACCGGGGAGTTTTGACCTTGTCCAGGTGGAGCACAATGAAACGGAGCCCGGGGCCTCGGAGCTGTCCAAGCCGGGCGCCGTTGTTCTGAGGCTCGGTGCCCCTCTCCTATTGTGACAGCCGTGTGAGCAGCCGAAACTCTTGGCCGGTCTACTGGAGAACCGAGGACAACCCAAGTTCTGGACAAAAATCAGGGGGCAACAAGGAGTATTGCGCGAGAGGCCTGCAGGTGTCTCAAAACCTGCGTCAAGCGTTCCCAAGTGATCGCACAGGGGGGATGGATTCGCACAGTTTCTTTCTAAGGTCAATGTCATTAGAAACATGTTTCAAGTATTGGTTTCGTTCTTGGTTGATCTTTGGTTTGAGCGTTAACCTGTTTATTCTTTGAAAAGGAAGATTTCCGCTCTAGCCAAGATTTATCAAGAAATTCTTCAGGGGGTCCTCGAGCAACCCAGCACAATTGCCACGCCAAGAGTGCCCGTTTGTGGTGTCTTTTTTTGAAGGTACCTTTCCGGGGTTCTAGCGACAACCACCATTTGTTTGGGTCCGATTCCTTTTTCAAGACACGCATAAAAAGCCACGCCTCAGGTTAATGGGCAGCCACTCACAAACGTCCAAACCAATCCAATCTCGATCTTATTCGAGGGAACCTGAAACCACAAAGAACGCTTCAGAGTTTGAAATAGGGCCTCGAATTGTCGGATGTGTCCAACCCGGTTCTTTCCGGAAGTTGCAAAAGACTTCCTGGTGCTCAGTCCAGGTGTTGAAAATAAGCCGGAGGTTGAAACTAAGCCGGAGGGGGATACCAAATCGGGGATGGTTTTTCATTCCAATTCTCATTCCCTGCCGATGTTGCAGCGGCAAGTTTTCGAGGCCTGGCGGTCCGGTGCAGCGCCGGGTGGAGCCATGAGCTCGGGTGAGCGACTCTCCGCGGCTCCGCAGACGGGAAGTCGGTTTTTGGGGCATTCCCTCAGTTTCCGCTGGGTGAAAGCAGGAGGTTTAAAGGGAGTTTTCAGGGATTTCGAAGGATCTCGGTGGGATGTGGCTTCTCTTTAATTTGCAAATGAACGGAAGAAATTGGCCTTGTTGGCCCGAAAAGGGGATCCGTACAAATGGATCGCTGTTTGGGGCTCCATGTTCAACTGCAGGAGTGAAGTCATTCGCACATGAAGGAATGTTCACAAGCAATGCACCATGTTTTCGTTTGGCGGATTCCCAGTTGAGCTTTGCTTAACCACAAGGGGTTCACTTATCTTTCAAGGTCACCGGGCAATAGGGAGCTGAAACTATGGAGAACATCTTCATACCTGGGCGACTGCGAGGAATGGATTGAGCACCTCAGCGTCGTTTGTTGGAAATTCCCTTGGGGATAGGTTGCTGCAGGGGGCAGTCCCTTCCAGGGAATTCCCCCGTCCGCTTGTTGGGTCGGTGCCTGGCCAGCGGGAAGCGCTTGGCGATGTTGTTTTTGGGCGGCCCCTTTTAAAGGAACAGGTCTGTTCCTTTACATTTTACATGTCACTGGAGGGGCTTGCCAGCTCGGCTGGCGGTCAATATTTTTTGCTCCCAAGTGCAGAAGAGTTTCGCGATGCCCCCCCCGACACGGAACGGACGTGGGTTCCTGTGCAAAAAGAACGTAGTCAACAAGTGCCCTGTGCGCCAAATGTATGGTTTGCTTCCCCAAAAGGCCAACCTTCTATTTCCAGGTCCTTTGGTTGCAAGTGAGAACCAAAAAGCCCAAGGAGCTTCGATGGCCTGCTCATCCTTGCGAGCTGATGACAGTGTTTCAATGTTGTGGTTCCCCCCTACAAGGACGCCAAAATAAACGTCAGGGGGGGCTTTCATGTCGAGTAACTCCATGGACCGTTGGGCTTATTTGCGTTGAATATGTTCGGCCCGGTCAATTCAATGGGGCAGCAGCTTGCTTTCTTGCTACCGCCCGGGCTACCTCTCTTTTCAGACTCCCAAGAAAGCTGAGCCGTTTCAGGTTGATGGACTCGCAGCAGCCCGGCGCCAGGGCGAGTGACAGCCTTCAAGCCACTGTGGTCAAACGACATGGCTCGTTTTCTGGAAGGAACCCTGTTCATGTCCCTATTTTGACACGTACCCACTTGCGGTTGGTCGGGACTCAGACAACAATTATCAGGGCTTCTAATTCAGCGAGCCATTACCGTGACCCAAGATAAGGAGGTGTGACTGTGGACTCTGGAACACTTGGTAAGTGGGTTGGTACGGTGGATTTGAATCCTAAAAGCCAGGGCTCAAACAGAGGGTACCCGCCCAAGCCGCAGTTTGTGACAAAAACAACAACATCTGCGGTGCGCCTGGTCCTGAATTTGGAGCACCCGAGCATTGCAAGTGACCCGATGACATCCAACCAAGTAGCTGTAAGTCGCTCGCCTGGTTCACCTACTTGCATAGTTTAGAACATCCACTGCAGCAGTCAAAACCAGGTGTGCCTTAATTACATGAAGCCAACCACCAAAACAGCCCAAAACCATGCCTTTGACCTGCCGTTTTTGGGAGAATCCAAAATTGCAGTTTCACGTCCAACTGGTTTGCCTGTGGAAACACCCTTTTGTGATTCTCGCCAGGTTGATTCAGCGGCATTTCTGACAAATGAGCAACAAGGTTCCCTGCCGAAGAATTTTCTCTCTGGTCACATGTCCTCCTTTCCCCGATATCGAACCTCACACCTTTTTGGCACAGCATTGCTGGTTTGTTGGTGGTTTTAGATAAGCAAGCATGAGCTCTCTGAAAAAACACCATGCTGAAAGGTCATGTGTGCCGTGGTCTTGTGCCCCTTTACAAAGGGTTCCCAAGGAAACCACAAACATGGACCACGTTTTGAGTTTTGACCATCCTTCTATGGGTTGATTCCTCGACTCTCATTTTTGAAATTCTGGTTTCCCCGTTTTTTTTTGGGGGGGTGCCCTGTTTGGAGACACCCCCATTTTATCACTGCCCCACCTCTCAATAGCTTTCAGAGGCTCCCGACACCGAGGCCTGCAGGAAGCGAGGAGTCAGGGCCCCCAGTCGAGCCATCGCCGGAAACCGGCCGGGACGTTGGGTTCTTCTCAGGGAACCTCAGGTTCCGGACTTGATGCTTGTGATGGAGAATTTGCTTGCTGGTGCGATAGGCAGGGAATGAGAAATGGAATGACCCTTCTAAAGACTAAGGGACGGGTTCCTTTGAGGGAATCCCCAGATTCATTCCCTCATTGCCTACTTATCGCACCAGCAAGAGTTTTGGTGGTAGACTCAAAGCTTGGACTTTGGGCCAAGCGAGTTGATGGAAAGGCCTTTCACGGGTTGGAATTCAGGCAGGATTGGGGTGTTGAAAGGGGGAGAGCCAAGGGAAGACGCCGAAACCAATCCCACGCTTTTGTGGAGGACCCGAAAGTGCACAGAGGCTTCACCATGTCCAGTTCTACAGAAGTTTATGCTGAGCTTCCTTTGAATACAACGTGCGCAACTGGCTTTGTATTGTGTGGCTGGGCGCCCAGTCCCTCCGGAATCCTCCGAAACCCTCCCTGAAGGCTTCTCCAAACCACCAACCAGAGCCTATCTGGGCAGCGACCCCATACCTTTCAGCTGTTGGGGAAAAACACATGCCTACCTTTTGAGGGTTGGGTGTTGTACAATGGACATTATTTCCATGGGAATCTGTGCCCACCAACAACTTTTGATGCTTTTGAGGTTGTTCTCAATTGGAATTCATAGCCATTCAGGGGTCTGGTAGACTGCCCGTGAATTGGTCAATTGGGCCAAAATGCAGCTGGACCAAAAGTCAACTTGCATCTGACATCAACTCGCTTGTTCCGCATTGAAATACAAAGCGCTGCCTGCGGGTTCTCTTCAGTTTCCCTTTGAAACAAACCTGAAAAGGTACCGCAAACAACGATGAAAGACACCCACATTTTCCATCCCAACATTGGATCTAAAAGGGACGGACAACCCTTGACACCGCCATGAAAAACATGTTTGACCCTCTGAAACGGAGCAAACCTCCGAAACAGAGAAAGCCACAGATGTACGTCTGCAAACTTGCATTGCACGGTAAATACCTCCGGTTTTAGTGAGGCTCGACATCCTCCCCTCCCCTCCCCTTCCCTACCCTTCCCTCCCCTTCCCTCCCCTCCCCTCCCCTCCCCCTCCCCTCCCCTAAGTAGGGATTTAGAGTGCATTCCCCAACCAAAATCACACCAACCCCCCACCCCCCGCCCGAATGCGAGCTTGCTCCAAAGGCGCGCAACCTTCCGCGGCTCGCTCTCGTGGATTTCTTTCCGAGGAGTCCCCCACCTCGCCCGGCGGCGGCCGTGCACGAGATGCACTTCGAGAAAGGGCTCGGCCAGGCAAATGGACCGCTTCGATCGGGCGCGGTGGATGAGTTTCCACTACCACACCGCCAGCCCAAAGGCAAATGGGGTATCTGCCTCTTCATACTGTGGCCGTATAATGGTTGTATTCTGAGACCGTAAGGTCCAGTATACGTTGCCACACATTTGCTTTTTTTTTTTTAATCCTTTGGGTTTCCTTCAAACGGAGACTTTTTGCAGCGGTTCTAAAGTCTGGTGATAGAACCTTTGTGGCGGGTTCCCACTATTTGTCTGGGGAAAGAAATCAAGAGAGAGCCCTATCCCCTCGCCCCAGAAGGTCTCAGAACATCAGTTCCTTTTTGATCAGAAGGTTCCAAGAGGCAGGGGCCTTTGCTTTGGTTTTCTCCCTACAGCAGGTTTCCCCAACTGTATCCATGTGCCTTTCGTGGGAGCTAGTTCTATTGCAACCGTTTGGCTTTGGAGGGTACTTGAGTTGTCCCACCGACGATGTGGTGGGGGTGCAACCCATGACTCCCAAACGGACCCAATTGCCGGTCAAAAGAGCCAGACCACTAGCTACCAAACTACCAAGATAAAATAGGGATACAAAGCCACGATACAGGCACCCAATGGTATGTGCCCCATTTTCCTCTTCAGGTGGAACCTTTCCTGTTTTCTATGCCTCCAAAAGGCTATAGATGTTTGTTTAGGGGGAACCCAGTAAAATCCCTTTTGGAACGGCCAGTTTCAAGTGAGCTGACATTGACGCTTCAGCCCCTTGAACACTCATAGTTCTAGTCTCTTGTCCCAGGAAACCTTTCACCCTTGTGTGAGGATGTTTTTCGTGACTGGAGAAAATGGTTCAGCCGGATGATTTCCAGCAAAGACACAGTCTAGGGGCAGAACAGGCAGCTCGGGGTAGTGGAACTCATTTCGGAAGATTTTTTTTTTTTTTTTCGGGTGTCCGACCTTTCCGCAGGTCTACCGCAGCACTCCCCTGGACTTGCGAGACTTCTCACAGGCAGGCTGGCGTGATGTGTAGCTGACTTCGCAAGGGCCGCCACGGGCCCGAAAACGGATCTCATAGCACGATCTTGGAAAAGCAGGTTTTTGGGTCCCTTTCTGCGAGTGGTCAAGGAAATCCCCTTCAGGGTCATGAGTCATAAGTAGTCAGCAGAATTTTCCTGCATTCGGAGCAGAGAAAGGTTGCCAGCCCAAACAGGAAACGCTGAGAAGAGTCAGTTTTGACACATACCAACATCCAGTTTGGTGACGCAAGATACTCCCCTGACTTGCCCGAGAAGAAGAAGAATAAGTAGCGAGTTTCGATCAAGATGGTCAATGCGGGAGGGGCACTGCGGGGCTGACGTATACCTCAACAAAAACCATAGGGACGCATCCCTAGATTTCCCATGTCTGTAACGGGTAAGCCATATTTTGACTGTATTGGCAAACCCGAGACTGCCTGTAAAGGCGGCGTTACAGATCTCAGGGTCACAACTTTAGGGGACTCCCACTTTCCACTCCCTGCAAAGAACGCCATGCAGAGTCGCCCCGATCATTTTCTTCTGAGGTCACACACCTAGATTGAGATACCTGGGTTTAGTCGGATTCTCAAACACAGTTCCCCAAATCCAAACAATCCTAGAGAAATTGGCCAAGGCCCGTGTTTTGGTCGGGTGGCGAACCTCTGGTTTTGTGATCAGCCACCATTTGGGTGGATGGCAGCTGCGAGCGAGCGGCAGGAGCAGCTCCGCTTTGATCCATCCCAGCCAAGGCGTCCGTTTCGGGGGCCCTCCCATCAGTTGCACCGGTTTACGGCACGGGTGCTCGGTTTTTGGGGCGTCCGCAGCTTTTTGTTTTTTTTGCTTTTCGGGGGAGTGGTTTCGAGGTGTGGTTCTGTGTTGCAAAGCCGTAGCCACCCCAATGACGCAATGACAATGTCCCCCAAATTTCGTGGGCCGGGTGTGTCCGAACGGCCAAGTGAATGGGGGACGCCTCAAAAAAGGCCTCAAAGGACCACAGGGGTGTTTGACGTATTTTTTTTTGCTTTTGCCAAGGATGGCCACAGACTGCACTTTACAGACCATTCGAGGATTTTGGACCAGAAGCTCGGTGCAGGTCTCAACCGGCTGAGACTCCCCGGGCTTGTCACTTTTTGGAATTGCCCGGCACAGGTTCCTCACAAGCCAAAATGAAAGGGTATTCCCATCCACCAACTTGGCATCCTGGAACCTGACCGGGGTGCATGGAAGACAGTGTTCCAGTGGATGGCAAGTAAGTGTCGCTTGGCCAAGATTAACCTTGCCATGTTGGTAGAAAGAGTCAATGGGTGGGCGCCTCTCAATTGAGTATTAGCGTGCCAGGGAGATCCCGCTAGCCATCCGCCTCTTCTCAGAGTCCGAGGTGGGGAACGGGTGCACGTTGGGATATTGGGATGCCTTTGGGCGCTGCCGGGTGTGAAAGGAGCTCACCCTGCAGGCTAGGAAACTGGCAGATGTCCCTTTTTGCCGTGCCTTTGTTTCTGTGAGGGTACTCCTTTGTTGTGTATTTTAAAGGCAAAGCATGAGGAAAACCAGGCCCACTTCAGGTTTGGGAATTAAAGCCGTTTGTTCAATGTCACTCACACTGTCCGCGTCTTCCTTGTCCAAGCGCCAACTTGTTTCTTTGCTCGTTCTAAGCAAAGAAGTCGGGAATCAAGCCACCAAGCATTCTGCACAGGGTTCCTATACTTGAAAGGAGAGTTATTGACTCCTATTCCTAGGAACAAGCAGTATTTTAACTAGCAACCTGGCGGTACAACCCTATTGATTTTGAACAGGCCTTTGAAGCTTTCACTAAAATGCAAACCTGAGGCTGGTCTATCCTTTTGACCAAGCGAATTGAATCGCAACCCCCGCAGGGTTTTGGGGTGCGATCGACAGCCCAAACACTCCTTTGACAGGGGTCAAGGTCCTTTTTTCAGGCTGGTGAAATGTAAATCGGCCCCAAAGAAACAGCACCCCAGGAGGACAAAATTTTGAATTCATGAACCACGCCTGGGTTTAACGTGACCATCTTCCATCCTTCGGGAGGACAAATGACATCAAAGCCATGTTGCGGGGTTTTGGAGCTACCAGATGCTCCACGAATTGGAACCAAGTACATAGTCACGCTGGTATCACAAAGGGTGATCTTCCACAACCATACCCTTGAGGGTGCTCTCGAGCCGCGCAGGCTCCCGAGACCAAACCGGCAGTGGAATCTGTGGAAGACGGAGAGGACGGACCATCCGAACGGTAAACGGGTGATTTCCTTCTGGCTTCCCTTTGGCGCACCCCAAACGTGTTTTGTGTTCCCTCTCAAAAACAGACACTCGCTATGGGTTGGACACTCAAAAGGATCAAGACACATTTGGGTAGAAACCTGGTACGTGTCCTTTTGCGGGGTTGGCCGGGAGCAGCACCTGAAGCTCGACTGTTGACCCTTTAACAACCTTGTGAAGTTTTCTTTCGGGGTTGCAAGGAGCGATTCTTGCGAACTATTGGTTTCCGTTGGTTTCCTGTTGTTTGCTTTGGTTTACTTTGGCTTCTTTGGTTTCTTCGGTTTCCGTTGGTTTTCCGTTGGTTCCTTTGGCTTTCTTTGGCATCCTTCTGTTCCCCAGCATGTGTTCCTGAGGTGGAGCTTGGCTCTGCAGCAACGGCACTTATTTGTATGTGCACAGGCTTTGTGCTAAACCAAATGTACTATGTACAATGTGCACCTACACACACACACATTGAACGATATGTGTGTATGCATGCATGCATATGAGTGTATATACATGTAATATAAAATGGACACACACACACACGAGCGCACAAACGCACGTGCAAAGACCTGTGCACCTATTGACAGATGCAGGATTTCTTGCCAGGCTGAGGCACCGATGGTGGAGAGGAGTGTGCACTACACCTACATCTCCTTGCAGAAGGCTCGGGTTTCGGTGCGGGGTCAGGCCCTGAACCAGTGGGTTGGGGAAGAACAAAAGATGGAACCAGACCGGTTTCAGTTGGGTTCTATTCGTTTACCAGCACAAACCTGAGGCCTGGGTTGCCAAATGGATTCTCGACATTCGGAAGTCGACTCAGGGTGGGTGGTTTCCATACGGGGTCCCCTTAACAATAGACCAGCATGATTGGGTATGTGTTAAAGTTGGGAACCCCCTAAAATGGTCCGACCCCAAAACCGATCACAAAATACACCCACATACTGGTCTCACCACCAGAGAGAGTGTGTGCTTACTTGTGTGTTTTTCTTTGAGACTCGGGTTTCCTTTTGTTCCCTCTGGCGGTTTGCTGCATACCACCTCTTGGGCAAACTTGAAGTGGGCTTTAGTTTTGAGTCACACCCATTTTGGGGTGATGCGTAAAGGGGGGAATTTCTGAGACTCCTGCACATCCCATCCGCCCAAAAATGCCCCGCAGGCCAGCAGCTTGGCAGACTCACCCACCAGTGACGACCAGGCGCGTGCGTGTCGTTTTTTTTCCTTTTTTTTCCCCTTTTTCCGGGAAGGGGTGAATGCGTATGAACCACTAAAGGACCATACAGATTGCAATGGGGGAGGAACATACAAGTCTGAGGAATCACCCAAACTTGATTTGATCAATCACAAAGGGGGGCACCAGCCTGCTCAGCATGCAATGATCCAAAGTTGACATTCATCCCCTCCGCAGCAGGGTGGTTTCTCTTAGCCATGTCACATGCATGTTGCTGACATATCGTGTCAAGTTCTGGCTGCTTCATGGTGGTCATCCCGACATGTAATGATGACGTGTTCAGGAGGGGAAACAAAGGGGTGGGTCAAAGTTAAGTTTATGACATTTTTGCAGCCACACACTGAGTTTTTTTTTCATTTTCCTCAACACTATCCTTTTTTCTCCTCATCGGTTGTCATTATCCTCCAGGTTATCATTTGTTTTATCCTCATCGTTTTTCATTATCCTCAAGATTATCACTGCTTTTCCTCGTCGTTTTTCAGGATCTTCCTCGCCTGCCTGCCTGCCTGCCTGCCTGCCTGCTTGCTTGCTCGCTCGCTCACTTGCTTTGCTTTGCTTTGCTGGGCTTGGCTTGCTTTGGTGGGTTTGGCCCGTGTTCCCTTCAGCTTCAGCCATGAAACAATCCATAGAGCTTGCGCCTAGTTGGAGCCATTTTGCGCAAGAAAGCTGGGCGAGTGTAGTGCGTATATCCGATATATGCAAGAAACTGAGCAGATGGAACAGCTTCTGTGGAGCGCGTCTGACGGTGGCTGCTTTGAAGCTCGTTTCAAATCGTGTTCCAGGCTGGAGAACAGGGGAGGAAAATAAGGAGGATTATTTTTGGAAGGTTGATGTCAGGTAGGATAATTTGTTGGATGATTTTTTGAAGATGGATTCCGGTCAGGATGATTGTTCGAGAATATGTCTTGAAGATTGTTCGATGAGTTTTCGATGATTCTTTTGAAAAAAAGCGGGATTTGCAACTTTTTGCATTTCCTGACCACTGTGAAGGGGGTGTGGTCCAGAAAATGTGGGTTGGGGATGATTTTCGAAGAATTTTCGAAGCTTTTTCGATGATTGTCCGATTATTTTTTGAGAACAAGAAACGAGATGTTTGCAACTTTTTGCTTTTCCTGTCATTCTCAGGAGTGGGGCGGGCATCCGGGCTCAAGAAGAAAGATGACAGAGGGGAGAAGGGAAAGGGGCGCGGACGGGGAAAGAAATGAAAGGAAAGGAAGAGGAAGAGTGAAAAGGGAAAGAAGGAAAAGGGAAAGAAGGAAAAGGACAGGGCAAAGAGAACGGGAGAGGACAAGGAAGAGAAAAAAGAGAAGGGATATGGAAAATGGAAACAACAAGAGGGAAATGGAAAAGGGTAAGGAGAGAAGGGAACAGGAAGGAAAGACAACTAATGGAAACGCAGAGAATAGAAGCGATGTGGAGGAGGGATGAAGGAGGAGGGAGGATGATTTTTCGATGATGTTTTTTGCAGAGGATGATTGTAGGATGATTTTGGGATAGGTTTGAGGATAAGCAAATCTATGATTTTTTGTAAAAAAAATATACATATTTCAAGATGTCCAGTCTCTGGCTGGCCAAAAACAAATCAAAAGTTAAGTTTTCCAAGATGGATAGGACAAAAGACAGATACCTGGAGCCATTCTGAAAGGGGCAAGAGGAAAACAACATCCCCAGAAAACGTTCTCACCCTTCTCTAGTCGGTGGCCTTTGCATTTCTTTTGCCATTTGGAAACTAATTCAGTATTTAAAGGACCCCCACCTCCAAATCCGATGCCCAAAATGCAGTCTATTCAAATTTCAATGGAACCTGCAAAACATGGTACCTCCAAAAGGTCCAAACCCCAGCTCGCAGCGCTCCCAGGTGGAGCGGGCCTGGTCCGCGCACGTGATCGGTGGGGTCCTGAGTTGGTTATGGCCCGTTTTGGGTGGGTTGGGAGCTCTAAATTTCCCCCATTTGCCCACAAAAAGCAAGGGGTCTCACGCAAGTTTCTCACAAAAAGCAAAAGCTCGCGCAACTTTCCCGCACAAATAATGGGACCCACTTGGTTTCCCCACAAAAATAGGGGACTCACCAATTTTCCCGCCAAAACAACACCATGTCCTTTCGGGGAAGCATTCAAAATGTTGACCATGGCTTATGTGAATTCCAAGTGGAGCCCAGGCTGCGTGGCACTTCCAGGGTGACCAGACATGACCCCATGAACCCCTCCAATGAATGGGTCATGAAGCAACCAATGCCTGGGCCCTCAAGAAAAAAACGAAGCATTTCTGGGAGTTTGATCGAAAACTTACCTTGGATGAAGTATGAAGCCGAATCTGAACATGGTTACATGTGAGCCAAGTGGGAATGTGCGCTTTCGAAGGTTGCCGTCGGACCCAAAACCGGAGTGCCCAAAACTTGGGGTCCCGTTCGCAAGTCCCAAACCCGTTGTCGGCTTGATGCCAAGGCTGATCAATGCAGAAAAAAAACACAAGGGTAGCTTGGTGAAGGGCGGTCTTTGGTTTCAATTTTCCCCCGGAATGATTAATTCTTCACATGGTCCGGGTTTTCCCTTTGGTTTCCCTTCAAAACCCCAAAAAAGGTACCTGGATAGCCAAGTTGCTGTTTTTTTCAGTCACTGGTTGTTGGGTTTTTGGGGCAAAGTGGATGGACAAAAGCGATCGCCACTGGCGATGCAGGTATCCTTCAAAACCCCCCAAATAGAAGCATCCCTTCAACCCCCCCCCAAAAGGGGGTATCTCCCCCCCAAACAATATATATCCGGAAACAGCTCCGAGGGGAATTAGCGCGCTTTTGCAGGCCAGAAGCTGGAGCACTGCGGCCAGCACGGGGCCCCAGAACTATCCGGGGTGGTATAAATCGAAGTCAACTGGCGTGGCTCCGTCTTAAAAAAAGGGGGGGGGGGGGGGGAGGGGGGCGTTCCGTATGGTGGACCACCTCTGGGGCGGTTCCGTAGGGTTCTGGGGGGGGGGGGTGGTTCCGTATGAAGGGGTCTATTTTGCAACCTCCCTCTGTTAGGGTGTTGGTTTTTAGGGCTCAATGGTTGCAAAATAGACTGTAGGTGTCCATGGCACGGGGGGGGTTCCCCTAATTTGGGACATACTGAAACGAGAATCGGCCCTTGGCAGGCTTCCTGCAGGCTTTTGGTGTGCGACGCACTTTGGGCCCTGAAAGACCCGGTCCCTTTCGGAAGTGCTCTCCCTTATCTGTGCCCAGATTGAGAAAAGGAGTGAGCTTTTCATTTTCCGGAGGCAAACCCAAGCCAGATCCAACTCTGGGTCATGTTTTAGGAGTCAGGCTGCCGCCCCTTCCCGACAGGAAGGCTCCCATTGCGAAGCATGTGAGCAGCCATGTGAGTCACTGGCAAGATTACATGTATATAGTCTAGTGTTGGTTTGTCAAAATAGGGTGGGCACGGAATCTGGAGGTTTTCCCATTGGTTTCCCTTTGAGGGTCCCTCACAAAAACGATCCACACCCAAAGGCCCCCCGTCGAATCGGACAGGTGCTTCATCCTGCATGAAGTCTTCGGCGCCGGACCGATCGGCAGGCGCAACCAAAAGCCTCGGAGCTGTCGACTTGGTCGTTCCACTTGCGACTTGGTAGATGGCACAGCTCCCTCGTTCTTGCAAAAACATGGCTCACTCGTCACGCCGAAAAACGCGGGACGCCTTTTTTGGGCGTCAATTCATCAGCGCGAAGTTGGGCCACGGTTGGGAAGTCGGTTAGCCCCAGCCCAGGGTGACTCCAGGTTTGTGAATGGGAGGGGAAATGCCTGGCTGAATTGCTAGTACCGGTGGCTTACCAGGGTTCAAACGGTCTAAGGGGTTGAAGCAGTTAGCTAGATTTTCTAGTTGGTGGGGGCTACGGAGGCTATCACATTAGATCCTCAATAAGGTTTCAGCACAGGCATATCGTTAGGCTTAGCTTCAAATAGGTTTGTCCAAGGAGAGCCCCCCTAGCCGCCCTTAGGGAGGGGGGCATAAACAAGATGAACATCCGTAGAGACCACAAGGCCAAGACCCTATGAGCCCTATGGATTTCCCATGTCGCGGAGGGCAACCATGTTTTTTGTTGGGGGGGGGGGGAAGATGCATGATTTCTACTCGTGAGGGGCAACAGACGATCCTTCGTGTACCACGGTCAAAGGGCCTACCCATCGGCCCATTTGGCTATCTCGCGACCCCTTGAAAACAGCTCCGTTTTTGGGACTCCGGCCCGTTTTGGGCCAAAGGAGTTTCTATTGCTTCCTTAAAGGGTTCGTCTCTGGAGCCCTTTCACGTCGGCCCATCGTTTGGCGTTGCAGCTGTAGGGTGATATATCCGAGTTCTTGACTGGGGCAACGCAACGCACAAAGGGGCGCATGGGCCATGGTCAGGGTTTCCGGATTTGGAATCCCTACCATGGGTGTCGAACAGCCCTTAAGGGTGATAACCGCTCAGTGATATTGACCTTGGCACATACGAGGTGTTCAAATGGGTCTTCCTCAGCCACAGCCGGGCCAATCTGCCAATCTATGGCGGCTCAAATCTCAAGAAGCTTCCCAAGTTGGGAGGTGCCAACGAATGTCGTAGCTGTTGGGCTTACGACTTGTCGGCAGGACGGAGGAGGCTCGGCGCGAGGAGCTCAAAGGCTTCCGAGATGGGGTCAAACGGTACACCCAAGCCGGAACCCGCCAAACCCAAAGCCGCTAGACCGAAAGGATCAAATGCAACGCCCAAACCCCAAACACACCCAGCTTTTCCAGGGTGAATGTCTTTGACCATGGGGAGACGGGGGTTGGCCGCAAGTAGATAGTGGTTCGGACTGGGAAGCTCCACAAATTTCCCACAGAAACTGGGCTGGAGGGACACTCCAATCACGCGTTCTTTACAGAAATTACATATTTATTGCCGATGTATAGGCATGATATACACCATCAATTACAGGGCAAGTCTCAGGGTTACCCATTCCGGTTCGTCAAACTCCCCCGAAAGACCAACCTGGGCTTTCAAGTACGTGCTGTTGTGAAAACCCTCCCTCTTCAATTCCGACACTTTCCACTTTTTGTTGCCAGGTGTCTTTATGCCTTTCGTCCAGGGCCAAAAAGGTTTGAACTTTCTCTACACGAGGGCGAGAGTAGATGGCGGAATTCCCTTTCGGTCGGAAAGGCGGATGATGAAATCAGCATGGGGGGGCACCCAGACAGCCTCCTCAATGCCTCTAGGCCAGTCAGGCAACCTTTGCCTGATTTACCTGCTCAGGATCCCTTCGCGGAGGTGGTTTTTGGGTGTTCAAGGAACCCTCAACTCAGCAGGTCAGAGGTGGCTTTCCAGCACCACTACCCTCCCAGGCACCAATCTGGCGGACCAGGATGTGGAGGGCAACACTGCGCCTCGGCTGGCCACCTTTTTCGCACGCCAAGGGAACTGGGCTGGGAGTACTCCCCCAATGAACGTGGACCCCCCAAAAGGGGTGCAACGGAAAGTGCAGGAGATGCCCAACAAACGTGGGTGTCGCCCAAGTTGGGCCGCGCAATCAGTGGGTGTGTGAACTAGAATGATTTGTCAATCGAAAATTAGGGTTCTGCAATTCACCACGTGCCTCTCCCTTACACTGTTAAGCGATTGTAGCCAAGATGCGGCCAAACATTGTGGGACTCATCATTGGAGCATTGGGCTGTATCACGGTGACGATTCTCTTACCACTGCCAAAGCCAACGCACAAGTGGTGTTGAAAAGAAAACTACCCATGCCAGTTACTCAGCCTTTCATACTCCCTTGCAGATTGACGTGGAACTCCCAGAACTTAGCATTTGTAGAGAAGTCTCTCTTGCCTTCGTGCAGTGATTTTTCCCAACTGCGATTCGGCGATCCAGATCGGGTTTGGGTCGGTCGGGCAGGTTCTGGGCAGGCGACACCTCAGCCCTCGCTTTGGATCTTTGCGTGTCAGCAGAGAACAACACGGGTTGAAACATAATTTTGCAGGCGGAGAGCCAGTCGAAACACCCTCAAAATATACACTGTGTATTTGCTGCCTTGCATTTTGCAAGGAGCACCCTGCAACTTGCCAAGGCGTGTTATTGGCAAACTTTTGTGGTTTAGGGAGAATCCATCATTGTTCGTGAACCGTTCGGGTACTGTTGGAACATACCCAAATGTTCATTTTTCCCCCTCGCTTGTTTCAGACTCACCTAGACCTGACTCGCCGTTTCCCTGTTCACGGCTCACTGGATAAAAGTTGGCGAGCCCAGGGTTTTGGTGTACCGAGGCCTTGGAATGGTCATTTGGGATCCAGAATGATCGAGCACCAGGGATCGTTTGGTTGCTCTTTACCTGCCATGGATTTTCCACTTGTGCCAAGAATTCTGGAGCCAGCCTGACAAACCGCCCTTTTCACGGCTTTGTCGATTTGGAGCCTTTGCTTCGCCGAGTTTGGGTGTCCGGTTTCAAGTGTCAGGCCCCCAGGTTGGCACCTTTCCGAGGACTGCGTCATTTGCCTTAGCGAGCCACGGGACACGGCGGTGCTGCCCTGCCGCCACATGTGCCCGGGACCCGGGCCGGCCAACAAAAAGGCCTATTTGCCATTTCGCCCAGTTGAAACATGGCTTTTTCCACCAAAAATAAAGGGAAACCACCATTTAGAAGGCAATGCTCAGGTGTATAATGTAAGGATCCCTGCTTTGGGGTTGAAGGTGGTTGGTGTACCTGCAATACTTAGGGCAAGTGATGTTGGTAACTCGCCCTGGTCTCGGCCTTCTGTTTCCCTGGGTTCCGAAGTTGCGCCGGAGGGCAGCGGCTGACTAAGGGGCTTGACCCCTATTGGATGTCCAGGGAGATAAGCCTAAAAGGGTGGTCGGTAGGGGATTCCTACAAATTAAGATGCAACCGCGTCACTCGAAAGCGTGCTTTCGAATGTGTTGCAAGAGTAACATTGGACATTTTGGCGTGGCTTTGGACCTTTGGATCGAAGGTGTCTTATGGTTGTCAGGGACCCCAAGAGGCCCAGCGAAAACGGGACCGAGGACCTCCATTGGGGACTATCGGAGATCCTTTGCAGGGACCCTTGACACGCCGGAAAAAGGCGATCGCCTCCTGAGGCTTTTGCAGCTACTGCGCTGGCATTGTCAGGCGCGCGTTGGCGGCCCTACAAACATCTACAAGCCCCCAACAAACCGGCCTAAGGATAAAAAAAGGCTGAAGAAAGCCAAATAACATTGCAAGTAGGGAACTAGGGAACCCGTGTGAATTACAGTAACCCTTCAAGCTTTTGTTGTTGGATGTGGCGGTCCAGGTGAGCCACAATCAAACCCCGGGTAGGTGAAGGTTAGTACGGCTGCATCCGCCTTGGTCACTCTTTGCATGAGGTTTCCTTTGGCCGCCTTATAGAAAACGGTTTGGAGCGCTTTTTGTGGATTTCACCAATTCTGCCCCCCTGTAAATTCTGTCTTTTGTAGTGCTCTTTTGGTTCTCATATCCTACAGGGGTGGATCCACAGATTCGCCACATGATAGAAATTCGGTGTGAGCTTCCCCCTTCCGCCGCGAACGGCGCGCTGCGAGCTGTGCCAGGCTGCAGTGCGACCGCTGCCCCGTGTGCCGGCAGAAGGTGCAGAGCCTCCTGCAGTTCAAGCGCGAGGCGCCGGAGCTTTCGGCCTACCTGAAACGTGTGGCTCACACTTCCTGAGTTCCTGGACTTTGAAAACTTTCTGGGAAGACCATTTTGGGGGTAAATGAAAGGTTTGGACTCTTTTTTTCTCCAATCCACTCAGGAAGTGGGTTAAGTTTCCCCGTGGAGGTATGCCAGACTAGTCCCCAAAACGGGGTCATCAGGACCACCCTCGCCCACAAGTGAGCATCATTTGTAGTGCAAGATCGTGGCGAAAGGGTCCAACCAAGAACGAAAAGTCATACCAATGCTCAAGTCGGGTTGGGATCTCCTTGCAAAAGGTCTGTGTGTGTGTGTTGTGCGTGCGCGTGTGCGTGCGTGTGCGGTGGTTTGTCGGCTTCAAGGCATCCAACGGCGAAGCAACCGACCAATTCTTTTTTTTCGGCCCCTAAATTGCCCCGTCCAATTCTCTTTCACTCCCGACCCGCATGAGAGTGCACGAAATCCAATGTGGTTTTGGCAGAAATGGCGACCGGGAGGACCTATTTCGATGAAGGTAAGGGTAACGTCATGAAGGGTCAAACAACTCCGACAAATCCAAGCCCACTTCGAGGGCTTCACATCCCGTATTCGCGTTGGGAACTGCATGCCTTGGTTCTGGTTCGCAGTTTGTTTGATTTAGGGTTTGCCTTTTAGGATTCCCTTGGAGCCGCGAGGACCTGGACAAGGTCCCGGACCAGCCCATCAAGCTTACATCGCAGGCCGGGGGGTATTTTTTTCAGCCGGCCGAACCGCACCAAGCAAAGCCAAGAAAGCGTCTTTTTGCAGGTTTTCAGCACGGATGAGCAAAGTACTTGGTGCAAAGTAGCGAGAATTTGTAAAACATCCTAAACGACGTCGAAGAGGACGGATATGTGTTCAACAAATTTCCCAAAGACCCCCTGTTTGGCACCCAGATGGAAAGGGAGTTCCGTTTTCTCACACACGAGGCACACCAGTGTGCGGCCGCGTTCGTTGACCATGCGAAAACGCTCAGTGGCCATCCTTCTCTGAGATGGCGCATGCAGATGCGCAGAATGCTCTTCCGACAGCTTGGGCTCATGGAAGTTCAAGAGAACAACTGCGGGAGTTCGCAAAAACAAAATGACTTGTGGAGGTGGCTTTTTTTCCGCGAGGTTTCTTCTAAGCTGAGTGACAAGATCGGCCCCCTACCCTGTAGAAAGTTTCTCAGAAGCATTCAGTCAGAGCCCCTGGTGGGATGTGGCTCAATACTAGGAGCCCCTCCCGACAAAAGGGTCTTCCCTTTCTTTGCCACCGGCGCACCCCTATGCAGACTACCCGGCCCTCCACTGAAGAACCTCCATGGTGCTCCGCCCTGGGCTTGGTCCCAGGCAGTTTGGGTTCCAGGGCTGGGAATAATTCTTGAACCTATTTATCCGGCGTGCCCGTCAAAATCGACCAAGCTGAGAGAGGATGTCCTATTTCCCCCCTGAGTACTGGAGGTGGGGTTTTGCACCAGGGTTTTCCCATGGGCCTGCCGGGGAACTATCGGGGAGCATTTCCACGTATGAGCCACAAGGGAACTCACACATGCTGTTTGGCCGATGTTTAAACAGGGGAATCTTGCAACTCACGCGTACAAAGGCTGGATGGGTCCAAGGAGTCAAGACCAAGTAAACCCTTCACTTGCCAAAAGAGGTCAGGCCAAGTACACTCTTGATGCCCAACATTGTCCAACTAAAAGCGACAAAACCCCAAAAAGGTTCCTCCATTGCCCCGGTCCACCCTGGCCTCGCGCCCTCTTCGGCTTTCCGACGCTTGGTAGGCCAAGACCTCGGCGCGGTGAGAGGAGCGCGCTCGCCGGGTGAGCGACTCTCGCTGAGAAAAGGAGCGCCAGCCGTCAGAGTTTATTGGAATATTCGTTTTGGCGTGGAAGTCAAAACATCAAGGCGGACTATTGGCTGAATCTTCCAATCGCTGTGTTGGCTGGAAGCACATTTTGAGAAGGTGGACACATGACCTCATGTCCAGCCGATTCATCTGGACAGAGAACGGTTCTGGAGAAATTCAGTTTCGCTCGGTGCGATGGAAGGATCGATGGCCTGCTTGTGTTCCCATACGTCCCCATTGGATGGTTGGCAGAGGTTCGGTTAAGATCTCCAGATTTGTTTGTCAGTTTGGGGCCATGGGATTCTATAGACAAAAAACCTACTGGAGCTCTCCAAGTTTCCCAGGTTGCGAGCCAATTTCTTCGGCTGCTCCGGCGAGGTTGTGGGAAGCTCCTACAAGAGGCATTACCTCTTCCTCTTGGAGCCCCAAGAGGCACGGCTCGCTCCCGCAGTCCGACCGAAGGCTTCGCTTGAGCCAACAACCCAGCGAGGCGCTGAGCTCGAGGTTTTGGGCTTCGACCCTTGAAGCTTCCCTGCGCCTCGTTGTTTTTTTTTTGGGGGGGTTTCTGTTCGCGGGAGACGTCAAGGATCCAGTTCTGGGCGCCCGCTTGAAGAGATGATGGCGTGGCCGCAGTCTATTCCTGGGCGGTCTGAGCTTGGACAGCGCGGCGCCCGAGCTCTTTTTGGTAATTAGAATACCACCGAAAGCTCCCCTTGGAAACATGGTTTTGGTGCACCAACACACATGGTTAGCCCGCAAATACAAGGATTGCGGCTTCTGGTTGTTTCAACTACGGTAGGCAGTGATTGCTCGACCAGATGTTCCTTGGTGTTTGGGGGTTCCGAGGCTCAGACGGGCCAACATTCTCACAGATGACCCTTTCCCTAGGCCTGTTGTGGTTCACTCAGGTGAGAAAGGATTTGTGGTCAACCCTGCGGAAGGCTGATTTCCTGGTAAAACCTTTCAATCGTTTTGATTTTCCTTTGAACCCCCCTTCCGTATTTTCATTGCCAGATTTCACTCATTTGTTTGCTCTTTCGTTTCCCACTCCATTTTTTGCCAAGAACTCGCAATGCCCAGCCAAGTGTTTTCCCTTTATAAATAGGCTTTTGGACCTGGCCATGCAATTTGGGCGTATCTTGTGGCGGCTTCCTTTTGGTTTCCCCGCTTTTGCCGCTTGAAACTTTGGCAGGGCCGCGCCTTCCTGTGCCTTTCGCCGGAGCGCCTGTGCAAGGCGCCGGTTTTGGGTTCAGCTCGCCGGCAGTTTTGGCGGTCGCTCTTTTTCGGGAGGTTCGGGGGGTGGGGGGTGGGAGGCTTAAAGCTTGAAGGGAAAGGGAACTACCCATTTTGCAACCTCCTATTTGGAGACACGCAGGGGTGCGGCAAGCAGCCCTCTCCATGCTTTCGTGCCAGGCTTTGTTTGTGACTCAGTTCCGCTATGATGTGAGCGCATGAGTCAACTGCTGCGAGCTCACGGAACCCGAAGAAGCTTTCATTTAATGGCTTGACCATCGAAGATGGGCTCATGGAAGCAGCGAACCCAGCTCGACCCAATCTAATTTGGACCCGTGTCTAAGTTTTCGACCACTTGGAAAGCAATGTCTACTCTGTCTCACACAGTCATGCAAGTTGACTGCGTTTGCACTGGCAGCTTGCGGCGAGGGGAGTGGACCATTGTAATCGACTCCATCCAACGCAAATCCGCATTGGCTCTTTCGGCATAGCCAGATGTGAGCAACCCAGTCCTTCTGTCTTTTCGCAACCCCTTGGTTTTAGAGCCCTTTTGAAAAGACCCGGCTAAAGGCGGGAGCGAATCCAACCAAAACAGGGATAAACCTTTCTAAAATGGGCCGCCTTCCCTGAAATCAGGGCTCGCTAGCTTACTTCTGACAGCAACTCCTTGCCATTTGGACCGGTTAGTCCAAACATTCTCATTTGGTGGCCGAAGGCACCCCAAGTATCCTGTGTGTATCGCCATTTGCCCAAGGTGTTGCGTATATGCCAACCTGTTTAGGCAGAGAACAAAAAAAGGAAGGCCTTTCTTCGGCACCCTCAGCAAATTGGAGGAGCAATGCAGCCAGTTTAGTTCCACGACACCACCCCGCCCCCTCATTTGGACCGATTGAACATGGCATTCATGTTTGCTTGAAAGCATGCCTGATTTCCTTGTTGGTATGGCTCAGAAATGGCCATGGCTGACATATTTGCTTCTGTGCCTTACCCAAATCGAAGCCATTCGCTGGCCATGTTCGAAAGTGGCACGTTCTTGCCTGTCCAGGCGTATGACTGTCTATGAACCCTGTCAGGCTTTCGGCAGCCATCTTGGCCCACTCAAGCTTCTCGTGACCAAGCCACGCCTGTTGACGCAACCGCATGGCGGTGGTTACCATTGGCATGTCCGGACGTGTGGCGATGAGCCAAGTGGAGTTTGAGAAGTGGTGGGATGCACAGCCTCGAACGGGCGGGGTGTGCTTCTACGACGCCTTGAGACTCATCTCTACTTAGTATGATGCCTCTTCTTTTTTTGAGGCTCACGCGATGTTTGCTGGCCACTCATGCACGTTCGTCACAAACAATTGTTAGTGTTCCTTGTTTCCTTTTAGATATTTTCTTAGAGAGGTTCAGTCAAGGCGAAGGGAGGTGGCCCAAAGAGAGCAGCTCGCGAATTTCCGGCAGCTGCAGCTGGCCGGGAGCGATGCAACCCCGCTGGGGCCCGAAAGCCATTGGCAGATGTCGTCCTTGGTTGCAGTGAAGCGGGAGTGCTTGACCACCAAAGGCTGGGGTCTCGGAGTTTGGCCTGAAGAGATTCATGGCGCGCAATCAACTCCCGAAGTTCAAGTATTGGTGGGCAGGGTTAAGTTGCATCAGCGTGCGGACTTTGCACAGCAGGCAACTAGTGACTCGTGGTGGCCACTCGGTATACAATCGTATCTTGAAACAGCTAGTTGCCCCCTCAAGGCTTTCTCCATGGGTTTTTTGGAGTTGTATACTCTTGAGTACTGTAGTGTGGTCAATGGACGGTTGCAATGAAGAAAATCGGGGATGTTTCCCAGAGCTTGACCCTGCAAAGAAACCGCCAGGAGGACCAACGTGGGCAAAACTTCACAAAGAAATGAGCTTGGCGTTCACATTGGGCAGAAGGGGCGGGATCAACCTAGACCCCCTGGTTGGTCCAATCCACAGGCCATGAGCTTCACGAAGCAGCTGGTGCGGGCAGCGCTGCAGCCGTGATCTCTTTGTTGGAGGAGCCTCAGGACCCAGATCAGATAGATGACACCGGTGCATCTGCCTTGCATTGGGCAGCGATGAATGGGCGACAAGAAGTTGCGCGTGTGCTGTTGGAAGCTGGCGCTGACGCGGGCAAGGCAGCCAACAGGAGCGGACAAACGCCCTTGCATTTTGCTGCAGAAGGGGGCCATCAAGAAGTTGCATCGCTCTTGTTGGACGCTGGCGCTGACCCAGACACAGTTGACATGTGCAACACGACAGCCCTGAAGCTGGCTACACAGACGAGGAATAAAGGGCTCGCGAGCCAAGTTCTGAATGCCGGTGCTGACAGGAACAAGGCCGACGACAGCAGCGGAATCACATGCATGCATTTGGCTGCACTGAGGAGCTATCCCGAGATGATAGTATTTTTGTTGCAAGCTGGAGCTGACGCAAACAAGCCTGACAAGGGTGGAAGGACACCTTTGCATTTGGCTTCAGAGTGGGGGAATTATGAAGCTGTACACTGCTTGTTGGAAGCTGACGTCGACCTGCACAAAGTTGACATGTACGGAAGCACGCCTGTGCACTTGGCTGCATACAATTGCCATCAACTGATCGTTCGTTTCTTGTTGGACGCTCGTGCTGACCCGCAGAAGGGCAAACATGGCCGCAAGACGCCTTTGCATTTAGCTGCGTTGACATGAGGTGTCACCAACTGCATGCTGGAATTCCAAACCAGGGTAAAAGTGAGTTCTGCGGTCGAGCCGCGCCTTCAGACGACTTCTGTACTTTGGCCCAGATGATTAGTAACCCCAGTCACATGTGTATGATGGGGATAAAATTATTGGACAGGCCATCTGAGCAGAGCATTAATACAGACGTCTCTTTGTTGAGGGTGCCCCTTGTTTGGTGGTTCTTTCAGGAAGACCAACAATAAAACCACCGATTTGAGAGGGTCCCCAAACAAAAAGGACAGGCTCACTTCAGGAAAGGCCTGTTTGCTAGTGCGATAGGTGGGGAATGACCTTCCGGGTGTTGGGAATGAACTGGAAGGGGATTTCCCTTAAAGAAAACCATACGGGATGGTTTTGCTCGGGGTCATTTCAACTGGAAGCAAGCTGGGTGAGTGGTCCCACCAGAGCCTCGAACCAAATTCCGGTTGACGAGAGTTGCTTTGGGTACGTGGAAAGAACTCTTCCGGAAGGCGCAAGCGGCTCGGAAACAGCTCACACAACCGCCTGTGTCAAGGTGGGCCAACCCCCGGTTTCTGCGACCTGTTTCGGCGACCTGTTTTTGCAGGGATTTTGCCGGCCTGGTTGAAAACTGAGATGGCCCTGCTGGCTCCGCCAGTTGCTTGGATGCCGGCTATCTCCTTTTGAGGTGTGTGTGTGTGTGTGTGTTTTCCGTGGCTGGAACACCCTCAAAAGTCGTTGGCTGGCATAAATACATACAGTAAATGTCCATGAACTAGCGAACACGTGCCAACGATTGCACGGCAGCACCTCTAACAGCCCCGCACCAAGAGCCATAAAAGCGAGCCCGCACCATCACTCCGAACAGCACCCCCAAACAGCACTCCCAGAGTACCCGACCGTCAATCTTGCAAAAATGCGCCCGCACCATCAAAGGTGCCTCAAACAGCCCCCCAAACAGCATCCCAAAACAGCACCTGTGCCAGCACCCCAGACTGCCCCCTGGCACCCTACCGTCAATCTTGCAAAAGTGCGCCCGCACTTTCACCCGCATGCCCCCCCGCACTCGGCCGTCAATCTCGCAAAAACGCGCCCGCATTATTTTATTAGCAGCTCAAACAGCATCCAAACAGCACCCCAAACAGCACCTACACAAGCACCCCCAAACTGCACGCCCCCTAGCACCCAGCTGTCAATCTCGCACCCGGTTTTGTTTTGGGGGGGGGGAGTCCAAAGCGACAAAGACGAGCCAGATGTTTGGCCCTTTGGCCGCCGAAGGCCACGATTGGAGTCCCGAATCTTTGGGGACGCTTGGTAGTAGAAGCATAAGTGGTACGATAGTCTTGCTTTTTGGGTATAGAAGGGATCTCCGGCAACTGAGACTGGGTCAAACAACACATCCTCACATAGCTGAAAGCTATATAGGGGTTCTAACTTCGAAGAAAGGCCACACAAAAAGGGGGTACCCTCAAAACAAGACGTATCCATAAGGCTTTTAAGCCCCTGACCCCAGGTCTGGGGGCCTGACCAAATCACTGGTAGCCTATGGCTTGGGGGATGTGCACATCCAAATCTCCACTGGACGCACCCAATTTGCCCATCGCGGGAGACAAGCCGTTTTGTCCGGGCTCACATTTGTTCCCTGTTGTCATCAAGTACTGGTGTGTTTTTTCGAGGGTACCCTTTGGAGGGCCATTTGTTTTTCAGGGTGGGTGGCTTTTCGGCTTTTTGGCTTTTGTGGCTTTTACGTGGGTTTTTGTGGCTTTTGCAGCTTTTCTTTTCGCATCCTTTGCATTCACAGTTCCTCTCTTTCGCATCCTTTGCATTGCCAGTTCCGCTGGCTTTTTGGCTTTGAGGCTTTTGTCGGCTTTCCAGGTTTGGCTTTTCGCATCCTCTGCTTTCCCAGTTGGTTTTTGGCCTTGGCTTCCTGCATCCTCAGCATCGCAAGTTCCTCTCTGGTGCCCCCCGCCACCCCCCTTTCGATTAAAATACACGCCTAATTGAATCATCACTTTTTCGATCATCATGTGACAGCTGCTTTTTAGATTCTTTGGCTGCCGTTTTACAGGGATTAGTTTGCCCGTGATTGAACCCTCGCTTGTACCATGAGGGCTTGGCGCAGAGGCACTGATGCCCCCCCCGCTGCTTTTTTATATTTTGTTGGCCGTAATTGAATCATCACTTTTTCGATCATCGTGGGGGGGGCTGCCGCCCCCCCCAACCCCCCCGCTATTTTTTGGACTTTTTGCCCCTGATTGAATCATCACTTTTTCGATCATCATGGGGGGGCTGCCGCCCGCCCCAACACCCCCGCGCCTTTAATTGAATCATTACTTTTTCAATCATCATGGGGGGGGGGCATCATGGGGGGGCTGCCGCCCCCCCCCAAAAAAAGGCTGCCGACCCCCCAACCCCCCTGCGATCCTCACTTTTACCATGAGATGCGGGAACCCCAATTTGCTGGTGATGCTGGCGATGTTGGCTGGACATGCGGGGGATGTTGAAAACGATGTTGACGGACGCGTAAAATACGTACATTTCGCGAGACAATGCTGTAAATTACAGCATTTTAGTAGCCAGGACGGAAAACAAAAAAAATCCCAAAATAAAGGAAAAACAATTCCCAAATTAAATCTCGACCCGTACCCTTTTCGCTGGATTCAGAGGGAAACCAACAGAGACGCCAGCCATTTTTGGGGTCCCCCGAGTTTGGCACATACCCATCCGCAGGTGCGTGGGCGAGATGTTTGGACGGAGGCGCGGGTGAGGTCTTCAGAATGTGAAAGGAACCAGCCAGAAGGATCTTAGCTCGGGTAAGCCTCAGTTGCTGAGGGTATGGGTCAAAATGAAACACCAGGGGACTGTCAATTTACGAGGGTTCCATTTTGTGTACCTATTTTTGACACACAGACAGTTGGTGGTTTGGATTGCTGGGGATTTGAAGCCCTGGCTGTGGGTCTGAACCATCAATTCAGGGGAAGCTTAGCAGGGATGTGACAGCAGGGACTGTTTTTTTAGATGCCAATGGCATCCCTTCCCCACATTCGTGCCAGTTCGTTTCCACGACAGCCTGGTTACTTGAGCCAAGACAAGACGCGCACGTTAAGGGATTTTCAGGTGCTCTCCCGGGCACGGCGGATGCCCAACATATGGCCATGAGTCAAAATCCCGTACCCTCAGTGAAAATCCCAATCCCCACTAAAATAGACTAAAATGGGAGGTGCACCTACCCCAAAATGGTACCATTGGTTCTGACCCACAGTCATATCGCAAGTTAAGGCCACAGTCCACTTGCATGGAAACCCGAAGAACCGAGCAAGCTGTGAAGGGTCAACGGAGGCCTGAAACCGCTTGTTGTAGCTGGGTGTGAATTCTACCCGGACACCCTTTAGAGGACATTCGAGGTTCATATTCACCATTCCGCGTGTTCCCTATTGAACATCCTCCAGCTTCTTTTTTTTCTGGATCCACGCTCAAACGAGGCACCTGATGTTCTAGTTTCCACGGGCTCGGCCAGCGGACTCCGCCTGTGTCGACACGGCCCCTCTCAAGTGGGGAGACGCCAAGGTGGCAGAGACGCAGACTTTGGTGGAGCGCATGAACCTCGTTCAACAACATCAACTCTCTTGAGCCTTGAGCCCGTATGAGTATCCGCAACTAAGCCACAGAGTCATCTTGCAGCTCAATCCCCTTTCATCTAGACAACAGCCAGCAGCGTTGTCAGCTGTGGACTAGTCATTGCAGTGTTTCAGCAAGAACGGGCGAATCCACAGGCACATGTGGCATCCAAAACTTGGAATGACCGACAGAGTGCAGTAGGTGAATCAAACAAAAGGAGATATGGCTGATTCCGGAGGTAGGTTGGTGTCCCTGAGCTGTCCCTAAGGAAACCAATGGTTTCCCTGGGCAGACCCACAACTTCATATGACAGCACACGTAACCACGGCCAGGCGGTTGCGGGCACGTGGCCCGTCACAGAATTCGAGAAGATCGGCGAGGCGGGGGGTTGGGAGTTCTCCTGTTGCTCTAGGGGTTGATTCTTTTCTGCCATCATTCTTTTCAAAAACCGCCTGTTTCCCCTGGGGTTCTGATGGTTTTCTGAAAAGAAGGATCCCTGGAAAGAATGGGGAAGTGTCCCCTAGAGTTGCCCCATTCTTTTGGGGGCTACCCCGAGGCTAGGTGCAACACCTCTCTCTTCAGTTTCTGGACTGGAAGACCGTTTTGGTGCACGACAAGCTTGACCTCTTTTGGGCCGATCGTTGGGCTCTTTGACCTGGTAGGTCACCATGAAGCATGTTTTTTCAGGGATCCTCTAAGACAATCATTGAGAATGTGTGGGGGACTCCTCAAAAATGTTTTTTTCTTTGTTGTCTTTGGGTTCCCTTTAAAACAGCCCTCAAAAGGGTACCTTTAAACGTCTATTTCGGATGTTTCTGAGCACCTTTCGGAAAGGCCAATTTTGATGAGTTTTGGTTTAGTAGGTGTTTTCATTTGCAGGTTCGCGAGTGCCAAGCATCCAAGCATCGCAAGAACCTGACCCTCACGGTGCCTTGTGGGCAAAGCCTCTTTAAGGACTGGTTCCTGCAAGCAAAACTGTGGGGCATGGTGGCTAGTTCGAGCCGAGAAGGACCAGCGCGCATGCAGATTGCAAGCACTGGTGGTCTGGGCAAACCGAAGCGCATTGGGAATCTTTCGCTGGCATTTTGTATTGGAGGGGTATGTTTTTTTAGCGTTTTTTTCTTGTGTTTTTCCGCTTTTGCATTTGGTTTCCCTTTGTATTTGGTTTCCCTTCAACGGAATCGTAAAGAGCCAACTCCAAAACAGGGACAACCCAAGAATCCCCCACAGAGACCCCGGAGGCCGTCCATGTTTTGGGGAACCGTCCCTCACGACGCCAGGCGGCGCTGCTAGCGAGTTCTGCCAAGCACAGCAGCGCCCTGGCCGAAAGGATGCATGGCTTCCGGGCCATTTGAATATATATATATATATATATCTATATATATATATACATATTTTGGTGGGATGCGGACATGAGACATAGCATCCAGAG